TTTATTGGAAAACTGAAGCGATGCATTCTGGGTGCATGGCGGGTTTGATTTGTGACGGGAAACAAAAGCAYGGAGTTCAGGAAACTACTTTCCCTTCAAAATAAGAGCTTGGATTTTGAAGTTTTCCATGTAGTTGCTCCAGTTGACCACTAGATGTCWGTCTTCACCAGCATAACATCTTTAAATCATTTCTGAGTCTCTAACCCCTTTGCTTCGACCAATGACGTCAAGTATTGAGCTCCAGTGTTTAAACTTTTTTTTAAAAAAGGAGCTCTGATTGTAAAGTAAAATAAATCAATACATACAAAATTTTAGTATGGATTACAAACGTTTACTGTTTTTGCTATTGACTTCCTGCTACGTAAGCAGACACAAAGCATTGTGGGAAATGAGAACTGTGACCCAAAGCAAGTCAGCAAGGATGTATACCTTCTCAATAAGTGTGTTTATCTGGGAGGGGTGCTGTTGGATAGATCATGTGTGTTGTGATTCATTGACAGCCATACCTTCTGCTGTTCAAGATAATGATGACTGATAGATAATTAGTTATTAGCAGTACTGCATTTTAATTTTAGTAGCGCAAATCCGCTTATGAATTCTAAAAATTAAGACCGCTAAAGAGCAAATGAAATATTTAGGTTTGCAATTAGCGGATTTGCGCTTTAGTGGGCTGGTGCCCACCACTGCTTTTAATAGTGTTTCTGTAGTATTTTTTTCACATTCAGTTAGTAGTACATGTAGTAATTTTCAGTGTTTATAAAAGGACGTGCTAAAACGCTGTTTCTATGCAGGAAATACCACGTAGAGCTCAGTTATTTGTYAGGGTACTCAGCTCTAGCAATGAGATGAAGAAGATAATGTTTCCAGTTTAGTTGAAGTTAAACACAAAACATCAAAGTTAATTATAGCTGGTTTTCTGAGGGCCACCATGACGCTCATGTGGCCCTCAGTGAAAATGAGTTTGACACCYCTGAGAGGAGGCAATAAGTCCAGGAAAGGAAACCCAAACATCCCTCTTCAGCTCCTCCCAAAGTTGTTCCCAGGCCAGAGAGGATATATAAACCATCCAGCAAGTTCTGGGTCTGCTCCTGAGCCTCTTTCCAGGGGAACATGCCAGGAGAACCTTCAAAAATAAGTGTCCAGGATGCATCAGATACATGATCCACCTCAATCGACTCCTTTTGATGAAAAGAAACAACAGCTCTACAAAGTCCCCTGGATGACAAACCATACACTGTCTCTAAGGCTGAACCCGGACACCCTATCAAGGATGCTCATTTTCTCCACTTGTATCCGGGAGCTGTGTCTGTTGGTCATGATCCAACGTAGACAGACTCAATCGAGAGTTTTGTATTTTGAATCAACTCTTTCATTACCATGACAGAAAGAAGCAACAATCTCATTACAGAGAACAAGGCTCTGATCCGTGAAAGAAACAGTGACAAACTAAATAAACAGTTTCATGGGATCGTGTACACCAGAGGTCAAGACCCAATGGGGGTCGTGAAAAGTTTTTATACTTTTAATTAAATTATGTCTTTAAACACACATTACCATGAATCCAACTTGTAGCAAATTGATAAATGGAAGCGTAAAACAATGTATTTCAGTCAGTAGTGCACATTTTCAGTGAACGTGTTGGGGGTCCTTGCTCCATCTCTCTATCAGTTTGGGGGTCCCAGACTAAAAAGTGTTGAAGTTCCCTGGTGTAGACAATAAATATTTGCTAATGGATCGTTCTTGCGTAGACTGGATGAAGACTTCTCTTTTCTTCATACTCCACATTCTGATGTCACGTCTGACAAGTTACTTTTGATAGATATCTGACGGAGCATCGCTTCAGAAATCACCCTACTTTCCTTTTAGTTCTTGTGGGGGATTGGGTTGAGTACAGCCTCCTTTACTTCAATTAAATCTCCTCCATTTGAACCCGACTCAGCTCTGCTCCTTTCAAAAGGGCACAGAATAGGCCCGCCTTGATCTGGTTCAATTGTCATCCCGGGGCTCAGGGGCACTTCGGCGGCCAGTGTAGCCGGGCGAAGTCAGGGCTAATCCCTGGAAAAGAGGAGAATCACGGGAGAGGAGAAACGCAACAATAACTAAGTCAAGCGTATAAAATGAAAGCGAAATCTCTATTATCACTCCCTGCGATTCCCAGCAAAGTGGTGAAAATCGGGGTTAGTTTGTGATGCGAGTCAGACGCGGAGGGAAGAATATGGGGGTCCCTGTGGGTTGGGAGACTCACACGACGAAAAGGGCAATATTCTGGAGAAAAGGGGAAGAAGAAAGCCCCTCTCCCATCCCGACATAACCATTAAATGCAGTCTGACTTTATGCTGTATAGAGAAGGAGGGACAAGAAAGGAGGCACAGTTCTCCGGTGAATGAATGAGGTTTTTGGCGGATTAGGGACGGCCCGAGGGATGAAGAATAACTTCTGCATAACTTTACAGCTATTTTCTTTCCCCACGCCAAGAGCCAAGTTTGAAGCTGGTTTGAGTTAACCCTTTTTGGATTTGTGAAGCTTCGCAAGGTCATTTTACAATCTTGTCATGGAACAGCGATCAGTGCAAACCAAATCTGATCTGTAAGTCAAAACATTTACTTGATTTGGAAAAAAAGGCTTTTATTTTTGCAAAATTTTACTTTGAAAGCTTAATTTTACTACATTATCTTGTATGACTTTATTTAAGAAACTTGGGTATACAATTAAACTTCTTAAAAAAAACTTACATTTCTACTTAGTTTTTGTTATTCTCAAAGTTATGTCTCCAAAATAAGAGCTCCTCTTAAAAATAAAAGTGTAAAACTAAAACTAATTTTTGCAAAAAAAACTAAAGTTTGGTTTTCCACGTATGAATCCCCAAGAAACCAGTGATATATGGTTCCACGTTACTACATTTCAGAAGAATAATTTGTATTTGTGGCTGAAGTTCCAACATTTTCATTGTTGGTTTTATTCAAGATTGAGCTGCTATTTAAAAAAAAGGTCAATACATAAACTGCAATAAAAAACGTTTGTTTCCAACTATTTTGWCTTCTCAGGTCTCACTCACAGAATAGATTTTGATGTAACCAAGAGTTAGGAGTTGACTCCTTTKACCTATTTTTAAGCCTATTGCTTCCATTTTCATTAATGAATCAGATTATCACCAGAAATCAAACATCAGAGAAGAAGTACAAAAGCAGAAAACAGTCTTTTCYTTATAATCCCGCAGTTAATTAGGTGACCCTATGTGTTGCTAAATAAAGCCAGCACCACATACACAATGATGCACACAATTTGTAATGTTATTTACTTTTTCAACCCCAAATATGTGCTAAATGCATACCAGATTTTTAATTTTGAATATTTTTTTGCAGTTAAAGATAATTCCTCTTCTTCCTTTATGCTTGCACTCTTGGAATTTGTGAATTATTGTGGTTTTTTACAGCTTCAGTCTTCAGTCTCCCTCTAAACTGACCAATGGCTGCATCTTTTTTTGTGCTCTAAATCACAAGGAGCTTCTTATGCGGAGTCCCTGAAGAGCTCTTATCATCACACCCTCTAATTTATGGACTTAATTAGTGATTTTTGTCCTCTTGCTTTATCYGTTCCATGCTAATGAAGGCATATTGGTCACGTCAAGCAGTGATGAACTGTCAGTTTCTGCTCGGTGAGCTGATGATTGCTAGCAAAATTAAAGAGGTGCAAACGTTAAAAATGAGTGGACATTTTGAATCCTRCATGCAGTCTTTAAAAGTTGTGCGTTCTGTGAAAGCTGAGGTGTGTAACTAARCTGCAACAAAACAGCAAAGGCCATTAAGAGTTTACGTCACAATCACGTCTTCTTTATGAGAGCCAAGCTAGGAAATAATAAAGGAGTGAAAAACATCTGAACAATTAGGTGAACTCTGGTCAGGAGAAGAAGAGTTAATGAGCTGCCGGTGTCATGTGAAGCAAATGGAGCATCGGGGGCCAGAATCATCAGGAGAGTYGAACGCAGGCACCAGAAAGGGCGGTGAATGCGGCGCGCATCCTCTCGCCGCTTATTTTCATTAGGCTATGATGACTGCRGAATTGATGCGGCCTGCGAGTTATCAAGAGCCACTAATTTCACATTAACGGCCATTGACTGCGGTCGCTTGATTCAAGGGGGTTTTTGACAATTATCCCAATCAGGATTGGAGCCCAAATCGTTTACCTTGACTCTGTGATTATTTGCACCGTGCCGAGTGCGCATTGCAAAATTGTACGGTGTCAAGAACCCGCAAATAATGAGGCGAGCAGGAGGAAGGGCTATCTGCTTCCAACAGGCGTGGACAATTACACTCTCTCCCCATCTCTGAACTTATAGGCAATGACCAATAGATAGCTAGCTTAAAACAAACCTGGGATGTTAGGTAAAATGTAAATTAAAGGGGGAGTTGAGTATGCAAAATTAACTTTTTTGAGCTTTATGTCTTGTAACAATGTCAATGTCAAAAATAAATAAATAAAATAAAAAGCAACAGTTTGAAAATCTCATAAAACCAATGGAAAATTAGCAAACATTAAATTTTTTAAAAAATTGTATCAACGTTTGGAAGTAATTTTGACTGTATTGTCAGCAACCCATCTTAAAAATGTTGAGACAGGAACAACAAAAATCTGTAAATGTAAGTGGAACAGATAAAAAATAACTGGAGGAGCCTTTTGCAATTAATCAAGTTAATTGTCAATGGACTGTCCAGGGTGTRCCCAGCCTGATGCACAGTAACTGTCCAGGATATGGATACAAAAATCTTATCAAAATAAAACAATAAAACAGAGTAAAAACTAACATTTATAATCAGAATATTAAAAGTCTTAACATATATAAACTTTCCCTTTAAAAATATAGAAAACCATCTTAAGAAAATTATAATGAATATAGAAAATCACAATCCTAAACAATATCTTACCACAATTCTCGTGGAGAATCAACTTGAATCAGGCGCTCTCGCGAGAATACGCGTGACCTGACAGTCACATGATCATATTGGTTGAAAACGAGGAAGTCATGGGTTGTTTGTGTTGACGGCCAAACCAAAACTGCGTTTTCCGTCATGTCGCCGCAGAGTTTTAGTCTGTTTTTTGTATTTGCCGTGTTAAACCTTCGCGGTTTTGCGGTGAGCGACGCAGTAAACGTCGTCGCTTCAGACTCGGCGGAAAACTTGGGAAAAGTTTCCCCTCTGAGCCCTCTTCCTGGCTCCGCTGTGGTCGACTCCCCTCCTGTGTTTACGCCTGCTGTGGGTTCTGCGTTCTTGAATTTGCTTTCTTCCTTCCCGGAAGACTTGGAAATCAGTGAGTACTGCTCGGAGCTGCTCCTCGTGTTTGGTCAGCGGTACGTGACTTATGTGGACTGCCTGGTTCCTGCTGCTCGACCCGTTAAAGCCTGCCAGAACTGCTTCTCCAGCTATGGCAGCCTTGTCGAGGTCTATACGAACATCTCATCAGACCAGGTATGAGCTTAAACACGAGTCATTTCCTGTGTTTTACTGTCATGTGTCTCGGTTGAGCTTTCATAAAAGCATCTTATTTATGGTCAGTGTCATGACCAACTCAGTCACGAGTTGTGTGATGTGACTGCTATCGTACATGGCTGTGTTTACTATGGCAAGACGTTGTAACATGTAATCAAACGACACTCRGACCTCTGGTAATTAGTAGATATCAGATAACATTGTTCATATCTGGAGCTGAAGGCCCAATACATGGGATATACTATGTTTTTTATTATTATTATTTCAAATTTGACAGATATCCAAAAATATAATAGAAAATAAAGAGTCTGTTACAAAAATATATAAGCAACAAATGTAACATGAACATAAACAATTTATCACAAAAGGTTCTGGTTATGAGACATTCAAATTTTTAAAAAATAGTTATTGTTTTTCCAAGTTTCTGATTATTTAAAGTGAGTTTTTCAATTGAGGCTGTGCATGTTTTTAAACCAGAATCGTTAAAATTATTCCACGGGGGGCTTTTTTCACTCCATTTTACCTTGTGGACATAATATTTTGCCAAATTACAATAAGATTAAATATATTTCATCTGATGAAAAGGTTGAAYTGTTGAAAATGAGCAAAATTTGCAATTTTCATAATACAATGGGTTTTTTTTTCTCTAATTTTTGCAGTAAGGAAACATTACACATCTAACCAAAATACTACAACATGAGGACAATCTACAAACAAGTGTCCAATACTTTCACCTCCATTTAGACAAAAAAAGAAACAAGTATTTTGCTTCAGTCTAGTATCAGTACACGGTGTATGGCAAGACGTTGTAACATGTAATCAAACGACACTCAGTCCTCTGATTATTAGTCTAGATATCTTCATATCTGGACGGCCCAATACATGTGATATATGATGTTTTTTTTTAAATAATGTTTGAGGTTTCTGAAATATCGATTTTAACTCTTAAAAATCCTACATGCATTGAAGAGCTTGTCTAAATAACGACATGTTACAGTGATTTCTCTTGTGTTTCTGCAGATGGGTCCTGGTAATGTGAGCTGCAGAGACAGCCTTCTGCGCAGTGATCGGCTGATGCTTGTTTACCAGCTGTTCAGCAGCCTACAACATATTTGGGAACATTCGGCTTGTTCCTGTAAGTCCTCTCTGAGGCCGAGGTTCGATAAAAGTGTGTCATTGAGAGAGTGAGCATTTCTTTCCAAGTTAGCAGCACAAGCTCTTAAACGCGCGACTTGGAATTTCTTTGCTGAACGTTTTAGCTATGCTCTAATTCAGTTGGAAACTTAGCAATGAAAACGGCATTAAACCTTCAAACTGATGTTTATGGTGGCAGCATTTTTACTTTGTCCAAGTACTTATTCAGTTGCAGCTAGTTGTTATTTTTCTTTTCAATATATCTAGTAGTTTTTATGTTTATTTACATTAAAATATTCCAGAAATGTTGTACAAATTCCCACTAATATCTCTTAAAATTGAAGCTCCTGCACAACTAATGGCCTCCTGAGGTTGCCTCTAAAAGCAGACCTTGAATTGTTGACTAGTTGTGTGTTATTTTGCAGCAAGGCCAAAAAAAAAAAAATGCTTCAGATGACTCAGTGTTGTCAAATTTAAATCCGTAAATTAATTGCATGTGATTGTGAGTGATTTATGTGCTATTCCAAAACTGTTTCATTTAAAAATTTCTCCCATTTTTATTTTTGTTTGTGATGAAGCAGAGTACAAGGGATGCAGTTAAAAGGAAGATACTTGTAAACCAGTGTCCAGTCATTTTAATCATGTTATACAATACAGTTTAGCTAGTTTAGCTTTTTTTTTTACAAACCCCGAGTCATGCTGTTTAAATCTTGTAGCTCCATGTCCCGTTGCTTTGTGTGTATTCTTTTAATTTTCCGTGTCCTGGATGACTGAGAATCCACAGAAACGTATTATAATAATAATAATAATAATAATAATAATAATAATTACACCACTACATGACGTTAATTTAATATTTTGCCTCCCACTGTGCAGCCTGTGTCTCTAAGGGGTACCAGAGCCTCAGCAATGACACGTTGTACTTTTTGGATGTTCTCAATCAAACCATCGCCTGTTTTGACAAATATAAACAGGTATGATATCAGCTGACAACTATTAATAACGTTTATTTATGAAATTAACTCTGACGGCTCTCTAACATTTTCTTCCGTGCAGGGAAACCTGACAGATCTGTGCAGCAACTGTAAAAGCTCCTACAAGAGCCTGAATGTCCTGTATGGCCGAAAGGAGCTGAATCAAACTCTGTGCATTGACTTGGAAGATTCGGTGCGTCGTTTAGGAATAAAGATGTCTCACGTTTTTACGCATTCTTTTCAAGTTTATGTTTTGACTGAACGGCCGCCTCGTTTTCAGATGAACATGACCCGCAAACTGTGGAGCAAAAACTTCAACTGTTCCCTACCCCGCGAGGAGACGGTGCCCGTCATCGCCGTGTCCAGCTTCATGCTCTTTCTGCCCATCATCTTCTACTTGAGCAGCTTCCTTCACTCGGAACAAAAAAAACGCAAGCTCATACACCGTGAGTAACCAGCTTAGTTCGCACATTATCACAACGCGGGGATTTTTGCACAGGTCTTTGTCAAGAGGAGGGGTTTGGACGGGTCTGATGGATAATAGATGAGTTTTAAGGATTTCTGTTTTGTGATTGTGCGTGTGTGAGTGAATGGTTGTAAAGAATATGAAGTCTGTTTCTGGGGTTTCAATAGGGTGCCGTTTGTAAAGTTACACAGTCAAAAATTACCACCAATATTTTTGTTTTATTTAGTCTTTTATAAGAAAAAAAGAACAGATTTATTTTTCAAAGTCAGTTTTTCACCATATGATTCACACATTTATAAATATCATAG